AAAAAAAAAACAATTTCCCTTTCCTCCAATCGACGTAACCGGTCGATCCCATTAAAACCCTTCACTCTTCAATGAACCGGACAATCGTTTGGCGCGTGCCAAGAAGCACCTGTAAACAATAGGCTTCTAATAGTGCCCAGTACGCCGGTACATCCAGACCCACCGATAAACGACTATCACTCACGGTAACATGTGCAAGCGTGAATATCTCCTACAAAGGACGAAAGCAAGAACACCCACGCCCCAGTGACGGAGGGGCTCGTGCACCGCAAACCCAATGGATATCCAGCACAAGCCCACACACGCCCTTTTTTTTTTTCTCCCTCTCGACACAATAAATGCGCCACGCGTCAGTAAAAAAAAAAAAAAAAAAAACACGGTAGCTCTTACATACAAATATATAACACGCGTAAGCGCGAGAGGCCAAATAAAAAGTCCTATTTTCGTCGCCAGCGCGTACAGTCTCACGGCCGGCCGATTTCGAATTATCATGATGATTATTGCGCGGTAGCTTCGGACCGGCCCCAAGACGACGATGATTACTTGGAGTCGAGCCAGGAACAACATACACGTACACCGCCAGAGACCTGCGCTTGCGCACTTAATTGGCCGCACTCCTTGGAACTGTTTGTTGCGAGTCTCGGGGATAAGATAGCGCGGCGTCCCGGTGGAGAGTAAAAGGGACGATGATGGTATCGGATCGAGACTTTTTTTTCATCGAAGGGGGGGAGGGGGCGGTGGATATGAGGGTCACCACGTTCGTGTAAAGGTCGTCCTTTTGTAATCATTGGTAAATTTGTGGTCGACAGATAACGCGAGATTGATACACGCGTAACGGTCTCGCTACTCCCAGAGGGACTTTTTTGTCGCTTATCCCGTTACAGTCGCGAGTACGCGCTTTCGTAAGATTTTACAGGTTAATTTTAGCGCAATGTATTCGCCATACAACATAACTTGTGGGGAATGAAAAAATTGTGCACCATGTAACTACGTGGTTGACGGATTTATTTCTTTTCAGCTGAAAATGCGATGTCGATCGGTCCCTCGGTAAAATTGCGAAACCCACGATGAGAGACGAGAAAATTCCGAAATTAAAGCCTGCAAAGTTTAATTGAAAAAACGAATCCTCGTTATTCCCGATCTTCCGAGCGAATCGCCGAGCAAAAAGCAAAATACCCAAGGACCCTGTTCCTTTTGCCGCGCGAGTGAAATCGTCCCTTGCGATCTTGGCGAACAAAACGAACCAACAGCTGTGTCTCTCCAATTTAGTGCGTGTCGTCGACGAGGGAGCTAAGCAGGAGCGCACCGGCCGCGAAAATGGTGAACGGCGCCAGCGGCGCTCCAGAGGAGAATGGCCACGACGTTTGTGGGGCCAACGAGAGCCCGAAGGAGCGTAACGCGTCGACGGTGGAGGTGAACGGGAACGGGGGTGATGGTGGAGGTGGAGACCAAAGTGCCAGCTCGAAGCCAAAAACGACCACGATTGGCACGATTGCCCTTCAGAGCGGAGGCACGAGGCTCGTCATTGCTCTTCTCGAAGTAAGGACTGGTTTTTGTTGATGTTTATTGGTGACGTTCAACCCTTTGACTTATCGAATAGTTCTTTAGTGCTTAATTTGGATACTGAGCTGTGATAGTCTCTGTGGTTTCTTTCTTCTTGTTAGGACCATAAATCTAGATGTTCATAGTTCGTGAATTTGACACAAATACAACCTAAATAGCCGGGATTCCATTGTGTCAAAGGTATGACAAAGAGGTTGAAACATCTAGATAACTTTTATGGATTCTATTACGTAGAATTGTGTTGATGCAAGTACCACTAATGTGTACGGTGGTATACTATATTCTTAAGCAGTTACCGTACAATTTGCCACATTTTTACCAAAATATCTGGTAGTGTAAATATCTTTAATCTAAAGTTCACTTTACAGAAACATATATTATCCTGTTAACTTTCATACTGATGATAATCCTGTTATTTGGCTTCGGGATTAAGTGTAAAATTTTACTTACGTGATATGGCCTTAGGGTAACTTATAAAGGCTATTTGAAGGTCAAACGGTTTGAACTTAATCATTAGTAGTGACAAAAATACTTAAAGATTTAAAGTTTTGGACAAAAGTAGGAGTTTGATCACAAAATTTTCTAGAATATGAAAGAGTGTATAATTTTACGTTTTAGTTCATATTAAATTTGAGGTTAAGGTGACCTCTAGGGTTAATTTGAGGGTCACTAAAACACTTGAATATGATTATGAATCATAGAAAAATGATATGCTGATGAAAATTTTGAACAAAATTTGTGTGATTTTAACCACAAACCAGGTAGCGACTTCATGTTTAACTCTCAGATGATATCTAAGGCCCACTTTACCCCCAGATAAAACGTGTAAGTATAGAAGCGTGACATTTTTCACTCTTTCGAACTTAGAATAAAGTAAAAATATAGTTGACTCACTAAGAAGTACAAGTATTGACTCTCACACAACTTCGAAAACTAACTTTGAGATCACAGACTCAGTCACTACCAGGTTCTGTGGTCAAAATCCAAATACTTTCGTATGGAAGGTTTGCGATCCTAAAAAGTTACAAACCGTATTAAGGTGGTTTTTTTATGACTCCCGAGTCAAAGGTGCCACTGTCAAGTTGATATTTATTAACGCTGCTTAAATTTTAATTGATTTTTTGTTAATATTGTTTATTGAGGCAAATGAAGTACTGATTCAAAATTTTAGATCTTAATATACGATATAAAAGTTCGTAGGAATGATTATCTAAAATTCACGCTTAACCTCAAAATACCAGCAGTGGATGCATGCCTATGCTTTTAACATAGAAAACGAAAATGTATGCATGTATTTCTTTTAATATCTTTTGATTAAGTCCATGAACAAATATATTTCTAGATAGGAGTATGTTTGGAATTGCACAAATTGCTTCAAATAACTAGGCTACAACTTTGAGTAAAAAAAGCTTAGTTGCCATAAGAGCACATGTTAAGAATTTAATTTTCATTTATCATTTTTTGCGTTTGTATTCGTCAGCCTACTCTGAAATTTTGAGGGGTAGTGTATTGTAACTCAATAAATGATTCCTCAAGATTTAATGCCATTCTGTTCATAATAATTTCATGAAAGTACCACCTTAACCTATACATCATCATTACAAACCCAACAGAGGCACTTCAAACCAGATAAGAATCCACCATCATGAAATTCCATATTCATGAGTCAAAGGGTTGAAACGTTCAAACCAGTTTGCGTACACGTTGTATTAATACTTTAACCCAAACAAGTAGGTATCTTATTCCATGAAATCAATTACAAAAAATCGAGTATCGTTGCTTTGACAATACTAATCCAGTTAAAAAGAAAAAAAAAAAAATGTACCCACAAGAATTGCCGATAAATCAAGCAAGACAGGGCAAATAAGGCGCCGAGCAACGATATATAGCTCGGAATCGTGTACACGCGCAGTCACAGAGCGCGTTAAACGCGCGCCATAATTTTCACCCGAGAACAACAACAACAGGAACAACAGCAGACACCCGCACACGCCAAACTACGGGGTTCGTAAATCACGGGCTCCCGAACAATTGTATAACATGCGACGCGCAAAGAAAACAAAAAACAGCAGCAAAACAAAGAGCATACGTCAACCGCAAAACCGGTCAAACGCTCTCGCATTTGGTATTATCGAAGAGAGCCGCGCAGCTCAACCTGAACCGTCTCTCCCTTCCTCCTTTCCCATCCCAGATTGGAATACCACATGTATACTTGTAAAGTGAAGAAGCCAAAGTGAGAAGAAAAACTGGGGTCGCGAAGAAAGGCGCGCGCGTGCAACTTTATCCCAGAAAGTGAAGGAGGAAATCACAGTGCCGCCGAGAGAGAAATCCCGCACTACCGGAGTTTCCAGTTTTCACGGCTGCCCCTCGGTTTCTCGTCTCTATTTTAACCTCAGCTCATTGTTACATAGTCGTGAAAACGCGTCCCCATAATATCCACCATGGGATTAATAGACGCGAAATTGCGTTCATTTACCCGTTACTCGAGACGATTAAGGACGAACGTAATTCATCGTACGGGCTTTTGAATCTCCACGCGGAATCATTAGCATGTAAAGTATCCTTTAACGAGTAATTGGCTCTCTCGTACAGATGCTTATCTCCGGGGGTCCGCGAAAGTGTCCGCGAACGAGATAAAACTTTTTGTCGGCGCGTTTCTGCTAATTGCGCTTCTTTGAGAAAATCCTGTACACGCCAGAGAAGATCAAAACGGATAAGGATTTTTCCTTTGGATTTTCCTTCATCCAAGTAAAAACTAACTTTCCACATCAAGCAATCAACCCTAATTGTATTCATATAAAATAGACTCCACCTTCCAAAAATCATCGAAAGATGTTCAAATTCAATGAACCAACAACGTTGAACATTCGAAATCCGATGATTCACCTATCGTTACTCAACCGCAAGAGAGTATGCAATTATTTGCGGGAAAAAGCGTCTTCTCCCGCATACCCTCAATTAATTTACATACACACATGGTACAAGAGATAAAAACCGAAGCACCGAGTGGGGGTTGGACAAAAAAGAATTCGCACGTCCGCGAGAGAACCCCGACCGCGACGCAGCGTGAGGGGGCTACCTTGCGTTGCATTATAGTATAGTAGTCGGCCGGTTGATGCAAAAAACAACGACCACGAAAAGGACAACGGAGGATGGAAAGAGAAGCCGATCTTGCACATGCAAAGAAGAGAGAGAGAAGGAGGGACTCGTCTCGTCTTTCGAGTAAGACGCGACGGGCTGAAAAGGAGGAAGAGGAGGGTGTACCTACAGAAACCGCGTTCTCGTGTGTATGCGTGTATCGCACGAGAGAAAAATCCTCGAGCCTCTCTTGTAGGATAAAGAGAGAGAGAGAGAGAACACGTTTCTGTGTAGAAAGAAAAGAGCAGCCCCACGAGGTGGTACGGAGAGGAAGAGAGAGAGAGAGAGAGAGAGAGAGATAAGCCGGGGGAAGACAGGGCCGAGGATAAGGATGAAAGAGAGAGATAGAGGGAGGATGGCAGAAACTGGGCTTTGCGGTACATAAATTACTCGAATCCTTTTTTTTCTTCCTCCCTTCCCGCCCCCCTCTCTCTCTCTCTCTTTCTTCTCTCGGGAGATAAATGAATGCACGTATAAATGCATACATATATGCCATACCGATCTAACAAATTGAGAAAGTTAGTCGATGCCCGCGAGGCCTTGGTGGGATAGACCGCGTGTTTATTTATTTTACATGGGCAGAGAGTTCGACAATCCGATTGATGGGACTATTAATTCCTGCGGTATTTAGGTGGATGGTCAACCGATCGGAATTGATGTCGATTGTCGTGTGAGCTCTGAGTTACGAGGACTGTTGCTTCAAATTTGTATTGATGAAGGAGTTGAAAATATACCTGTCTTGGGTAATTGCTGTTTTACAGTACACGAATGATTTTTATTCCTTGAATTTTAACGGAACAAATTGAATAATTTTGCTCATTCGTGTCAAGAAGCTCCAAACGTCGTTTGGTCCTGAATTTTAGTCATGACTTCAAAGTGATTTCAAACTCTGGAAAGCTATGTACTATTTTTTAAAAGGATTCTTAACTGTAGAAATTTCTGCCTCAGAATTATCATTAGCACTGGAATGGTTAGTCAAAACGACCCTACATTAAAATACAATTAACTGATTTTTTACTTGCATGATTATAAAATATTTTAAATCAAAGGATTATTATTGAACAAGATTTTAAGCGACCAACAGTGAATACATATAACAAAGATTTGAAGTCTTTCAAACTTATTTAAAAGCTGAAAGCTGTTTGAAGTCACAAAAAAAGTCTCTAAAACACTTGGAAAGATATTTATAGTCATTCAAAAGACTTTAAAAGAAAATGATCCAAATCTTTTGATGGCTTTCGAAGTCCTTAAAAAAACTTTTGAAGTACACATTAAATCACATTTCAATACGCTTCATAACCAAAGAGCAGCTCATACAGCAGCAATCGTCCACGAAATCTAAAAGATCATCTTTTGATAACACCAGTGAAACAAAACGAGGTGCGCGTAACATAATACAGACTCGTACAACTGAAGAATTTTGCTTTCGATATTTTACGAACGTCCAACTAGTTTGCGACTCGAGCAGTCAACTTTAAAAGGATCGAGATTAAAAAAAAAAGGAGTCTCCGGAGCAGAGAGTGACGTCGAGAAAAATGTTATCCAATAGCAGCAGCAGCAGCTCGGATGACGAGTTGCTTTGAAAGACGTAATGAAACGCGACCCTTTCCCTCTGTGTTCTTCTTATGTTTTTAAAGCTTTTTTTTGTACAGCAGCTCATTCTTCGTTTCTAGGCTTTTGCAATTATATGTAGGACATGTTGTTATTTTCAAAGATCAAAGGTTTACGAAAAAAAAAAAATAATAATAATAATAAAAAATAAAAAATTAACATGAGTTCACCGACCGTTGAAAATAGATCTTCGTTCTACATAACTATGGTGTAAAATTCCAAGTAAA